ATGGGTGGACCCTGGCCAGGTGAGGGTGGTTCCTGAGTCAAAGCATGGTTAATATAAGATGCAATGTTTTTTTTTCTATGAGTCCCTAATTTAACATGCCTCAGACCTACTAAATTGCATAGGAAATAAGTTCTAAATGCTACTTAGAACATTGGTTTAATAGGTGTTTCAGTTTAAGATGAGATTTCCCCCATCTTAAGAACAGTATGGATAAAAGAAAGTTCTGTATAATTTTTTAATTCATTCCCATTCCCAGCCTTATTAATAGTTAGTTAAATTAGTTAAAGTCTCATACAAGAATACAGCCCAATTCAAGCCTCTTCATAAGTATTAAGATGTTTGAGTAGTTTGTAATTCTACAAATGTTCCATCTAGAAACTCATCTCGTGTTATGTCAAGTCATTTGATCATATAACCCCTCTCTGAGATTCATCTACCCTTGGTGAAGTGCTGCAGAGTGTTTCTTTTCTCCGTGTCTAGCTTGTATTTGCAGCTGCATATTTTTATGTGATTGCTTACACTGTGCAGATGCAAATTACTTTTGGATATAACTGTGAAAGTAATGATCTTTTAAAAAAATTCACACAGATTTGTAGGCCTCATAATCTTGGCAAATATACCAAAAAGATGTTTGTTCTTATTTTGATGTTCAATATATAATAGATGGTGTGATAAGGCCAGCTTCATTAATTCATTTTATAAGCACTTGAATATAATAGTTATTTCACCCATACATAGCCTCCAATTACCTCCTCAATTCCTGATAACAGCTGCAATCTAATCTTTCATTTTTATTGCCTACCAGTTAATTGCACTAATAGGTTTTGCTTTTCATTTCTACATGATTTTTATTACAAAAACTGGCAAGTACTAACTCCTGCTACCTTTTAGTTAGTAAGCATTTCAGGCTTTTTACTCAGAGATGAGCACAGAAAATGGGTCTTTAAGACTTTAAAACATGTAAATGTGCTTGTTCACCTCAAAATCTAGATGACTACTTCTAACTTTTACTTTTTTAGAAAAGAAGAGGGTTATTTGGGACCAATAAATTCTGCAAAGTAAGGAATACTGGTAGCTATAGATATGTGGTAGGTTTTTTTTTCCCCTTTAAAAAGCTTGTTTCATTATCTCCCAATGAATTATAATATTCTCAATCTACAAACAACTTGTTGTGCACAGTGAACTGATGTGAGCAAACTTAATAGAAGTATTTAACAAATATTTGTTCATTCAAAACATGAAAACTCTTTAGTAAAGTTGTTGAAAACATTCATTTTTACAAATAAATGTCTATGTAATACTAATTGAATCTTTAAAAATATGATGGTTGTATAATTGCAATTGAGCCAATAGTTTACATAATTATTCTACATATGAAATCATTATTCCATAGATACATGGCTTGACTTTGCTAAGTTGGATCATTTGCATTTATAAAATTTAAGGATTTACAGGAATGTTTTATTCATCATGAATGCTTCATTCATTTTGAAAATTAGTGATTGAGTAAAAAAGAATAACCATTGATTTACTTACTTGTATCTCATTATGATACAGAGAACTGACATCACACTATTGGAAAAATTAAATGTAAGTGAGTGTCCTATCTTCATTGAACTTTTACAGCATTGTAGGAATACTACAAACAAAAGTTTAGAATTTCACCGCTTTCTACTTTAAAAAAATCTGAAAACGTTTTTTATGACACTGCCAAGTCTAGAGCCTACTGAAGTGACTTAAGTATTTGGTGGCATTGAGCCAGATGCAAATACTCAAAACTTCAGCCTTATCTGTTTCAAGAAATCAGACTGTCAAGTGGACAATTCTTTTTTATACCATTTAAAGTCTTCTTTTAATTAAATCATGTCCTCCAAATGATATTTGAACCTATATAAAACTGTAGTTACAGATTTCTATAAGGATGATAAAAGACATTTAGACAAGAGGAAAAAAAAGAACTTTTCCCCAAATTTCTATTAGGAAACAGAGGATCAGGTGGAAAGTAGAGAGTATGTTCCCAAGTGAGAAACATAGGGGATAAGATTTTGATATGGTTGGTGACAAGTCATTCAAAGGATGGAAGGCAGCAGGAACTAATGATATGAAACAAGGAAGGGGATAATGGGAGGGAGCTATGCTTCTGCAGTTGATTCTGTGAAAAAAAAATCAGAATTATGAGTGTGCACCAGAAAGACTGATTTCATGCAGAGCTCTAGAAGGAAGCACCTGACCTTGCTTTCTGGGAGCAGATGACTGGGACCTTGCCTGCCCTTAAGTTGGGAGTGCTCAGCGTGACTCAGTTTTCAGAATGGGGAACATAATGGCTGGGGAACATAGAGAGTTATTTGTGGGCTGATGTGGTACAAATGTGAGATTTGAGGTTGTATCAGTAGTTATCTGAAAAATTACATAGGCAGCTAACAACCTCAGCAATTTGAAACTACATTTTTGGTGGATCGCTCTTTTGTCTGTGTTTCTATATTATAATGTGGAAACAACTAGGATATATGTATGTATTTATTTATTTATTTATTTATGGTGTTTTTTGAGGCAAGGTTTCAAGACCCTCCCAGGCTGGTCTGAACTGGCAGTCCTCCTGCCCAAATTCCTGAATGCTGGGATTACAGGCATTCACCACCATGCCAGACTGTGCGTTTAATTTATGTAATAAACATTTTGACTTTTAATGATCATTTTCAATATGTTTAAAAATGAGTATTATGAAAGATGCACACTAATAAAACTGATTCTGTGAAGATTATTGTTTTTGAAAGTACTTTAATTTGATTTAAAGATAAAATATTAGTGTAGAAATAATAAAAGTGGAATGCAGAAAACTAGTACTTGGGAAATATTCATATGGGTTCATCCCATGGATTCCATACATCATCAGGTGGGCAGTGCTCTTCAGAGTTTGGGAACAGAAAATATCTCAATAAAATGGTGTTTCTTTTTCAACTTTGCAAAACTGGGTGTTTTTTATCCTGCCATCAAGGTTAGATGTTTTCTTTTTAAGCCTCTCCAAACTGATATGCCATCTCTAGTAACCATCAAAAAGGATAGTTTCAGTGGGCTGAAGTGTACGCACTTGTGATTAAAATAAGAAGGTAAGCTAACGTTTTATTTTTCTGACTTTTTGGATTTTTTTTTAACCCCATGGAGGGTTTTCTTGATTTTGTTTTTGTCTTATTCTCATGAAATAAAACTCAAGTCTGGGACTATAGCTCAGTTGTAGAGCACTTACCTAGCATTTATAAGGCCCTGGGTTTGAGTACCAGGACTGCCAAAAAATATAATAAATCAATTATGACCTTGAACATAGGATTTCACGTAATGAGATTTCATAAGATTTTTCAGTAATATATTTTCTGTTTGCTAGTTAAACAAAAAACTTAATAATTGTTCTTTTTTACTTTTTAAGTTATCATATATGATATCGATGGGAGTGCATATAATCTTGTGCATTTTAATACACATGTAGATTTGTGCAGTTAGTATATAAGAACAGTTCTATCATTCTAGAAAATTCCCCTGTTAGTGAACTACCATACCCGTTCTTTATAGTGAAATGCAAATTGTCCTATCATTGCCCTTAAATTTACAGCACAAAATGGGCTAATTCACTATTCAATAACCCTGTAAGCCACCCTCCTTTTCTACTATATTTAAGTTCTTCTGATTGCTAATTTTGCCCTTTGTTGATTTATGATCTTGGTTAGGGATAGTGTTCATTTCTCTTCTCTATCAAATATCATCAACTGATTCAGTGCTAAACTCTAACCCGGGGGATTTTCTTATGCTGGTGTCAGCTGATCTGGGCTTGTTCATGTTTCATCTGAATAATTCTTTGTTCATCGTCTGCATTGGTTTTCGAACTGCCAGTTGTCTGATGTTAATGCTGGAGATTATTTTCTGGGGTACACAAGAGACTATCTGCTGAGTGTCTTTTTATATGCTTTGCAGATAGAGGTGCTTTTCTCTGAATGTTGGGATGGCTCTGTGCCATACTTTTTCTGAGTGTGTTCACCATCTTATATATACGTAAGCTAAAAGGGGGGGAATCACAGGCTGTAAAGCAAAACTTGAAAAAGGTTTTTTTTCAACAATGGAGAACAGGAAGATAAAACCGGTCCTGTCTGGGGGGTTGGCACCAATGGGAGGATGGGAAAGGGTACAGGAGGGGAATATGGTGGAAATATTATGTAGTCATGTATGAAAATGGAAAAATAAGACCTGTTGAAACTATTCCAGGAATGGGGTGGGGGGGATAAAGGAGAATGATGGAGGGGGTGAATTCAACTATGATATATTTTAAGAACTTTGGTAAATGTACCATGTACCCCCAGTACAACAATAATGAACAGAAAAGATTTTTAAAAACTTTACTTGATCAATATTTAAACAAAAGTTTCATATTAACCAATCTCTCACAGGTACTTGAGTGTGCGACAGTGGTATGCATTTCCAATAGAATGAATTTTTTGAATGAATTTCATTCTATAGTACATGAAAATTAATATTTGTTTTAAAATAAAGATCCACATTTTATATGTTGTAACAAGAGCCTGACATATATGACTTTGCCATAAATCAAAACTGAAGAAGTTGAATATATCTGTAATAACTGTCATTGAGGTCATTTGAGACCATCCTAAGTATTGTCACCTCCTACAGGGAAAACATTAGCAGCTTAAATTTTCTTGTCATATGATTCTTTAAGGTTTATCAGGCTCCTTTTTTTATAGAAATTAGATTTGTTGTAATGTGATAATTGTCTTTGGGTCCTTTTGTGTTCTGATTTCAAACAAGTTTTTTGCTTCTGTTTTTGTCATTTGTTGTCCTTAATTCCTAGAGACAAGAACATAACTGTTGAGTGAGATTACTATCCTTGTTCAGAAACTAAAAGTTAAAACCTTAAGGAATAATATAGCTACTTTTATTTGCTCACTGTTGTCTGTCCTTTTAAGTATAAATTGACTATATTATCATTTGCTCTTCAGATGGATCCTGTGCAAAAGGCAGTCATTAACCACACATTTGGAGTATCCATTCCCCCAAAGAAGAAGCAAGTTATTTCTTGTAACGTCTGTCAGCTTCGCTTTAACTCAGATGTGAGTATCACCTTTCCATGATTCTCCATAGTTTATCAAGCTGAAAGTCTGACTGGTGTGAATGAATTCATACATATCTTCATATATGCATACTCTTGGGCACCTCCCACCACTTCTCCATTTCAGTCTGCCAGATTTCCAAGGGATTTGGGTTCAATGCTTAAGACTTGAACAATAAAGTAAGTGATTGGTATTAGAAATTAAAAATTTCTCTGTAAAGTCATTCTCACCTGTACTGTTTTACACTCATTCTCAGTAATTATATTTTCTTGTTGAAGATACTTGAATAGTAGAAAATATGAAAAAGAATGCAATGAGTGCTGAAAAACCATTATTGTTTTTATGTGAAGTGTCAGATTTCATGTGTATATTAAATCTTGTTAAATACCTCACAGAACAATTTACTATATGCTCTGTATTTTCCCAGATCATGAAAATACAAGGAATGCTTCATAAATTATGTTATCCAACTAGCATAAACATGCTGATTAAAAAAAAGATAAGAGCTGGTAGAGTGGCTTAAGTGGTAGAGCACTTACCTAGCAAGTGTGAGGCCCTAAGTTCAAACCCCAGTACCACCAAAAAAGAAAAAAAAGATAAGAAAAGGGCTAAAAAAAAAAATCTGTCTTTTATCATAGATTTTAAAATGTATAAATAAAATAATACGAAAATAAAGTAAATATTGATGTTTTCCTAATAGAAAAATAGTAAATATCTTTCTTTATATATAGCACTAAATGACGTATTGATAACTCAACAATTACAATGTTGGGAATAGCAGCACACACATGTAATACCAGCACTTCGGAGGTAGAAGCAGAAGTATTTTGAGTTTGTGGACAGGCTGGGCTACATAGTGAAAGCCTGTCTTAAAAAAAAAGAAAAAGAAAAAGAACTAGCTATTGAATTAAAAAGGAGATGTTTACCATGATTTGTAAAATTACATTTAGTCAATTTCAATCAAAAGTCCAGTTAATTTTTAGTATCCTATAAAATTTTATATTCAGTGATGTAAATGTACCTAAATAAATTGAGAAAAATGTGATGTTAGTTCATTCAAAGTCTCAATATTGTTAATATGCAAATTCTCCTCAAACTATCGGATTAAAAAAAAATTACACATTATTTCTTAAATATACATAGAAAAAGAAATCCCTGGACTGGAAAAAGTATTTTAAGTATAAATTTTGAAGACTTACACCTTTTGATTTCCATACTTACTATAAAACCTATATACATTGAAAATTTTCCTCCATCATTCTTCCTTGCCATTCCTTATTTGCACCCAGCTTAGTATTTTGTGCATATCTTTTCAGAGTTTGTTTTACAAATATAGCTAAATGTGAATATATATTCTTATTTCCTTCCTTTTTAACATACAAGGTAGCATATTATTTATAGTTTTCTTTGCCTTGTATTTTTTACATGACAGTATATCATTGAGAATTACCTTATCAGAGCGTAGAGAACTCTCTTACCCTCTCTCTCTTTTTACCACTCCCAAATGTGTTAGACAAAAGTGTCCATATTCTAAACTCTGGAACCTGTTAATGTTATCTTACATTGCAAAGGGGCATTAAAATAGTAGATGGAATTAAGAGTACTAATCAGCCAATCCTAAAATAAAGAGGTTATCCTGGCCTATACTATGGGCCCACTGTATCCAAGGCACCTGAAAAGGAGAAGAGAAAGACAGAAAATGCCATCGGAGTGATGTAATACTGGAAGGTCTTGACTGGCCATTGTTGGATTTGAAGGTAAAGGAGGGGACCACAAGCCAAGAAATAGGGACAACTTCTAGAAGCTGGAAAAGCAAAGAAATCCATTTTCTCCTGGAGTCTCCAAACAGATAGTCAGTCCTGCCAACACCTTAATTTTAGCCCCACTGCGACCCACATCAGCCTTCTGACCTTCAGAGGTATAAGATAATAAATTTGTGTTGCCTCAAGTGTATGATAATTTGCTATGAAAATAGTAGAAAACTAACATAGTAGACTATGCGTGGATTTCCCATAGCTTATTTACCTAGTACCCTATAGATGGACACTTAGGTTGTTTCTCGCCTTTTGGTATTCCATAGATTTTTATAGCAAATAAAAGACAGAACTAGAACACAATCTGAATGTCTTGCCTCTAAACCCTTAGCTCTTCCTATTATGTGCATCTCAAATAATTTTACTCATGTTCTGAGTATTGAGCTCCTCCTAGAAGATAAACACTATGCTATATATAGATAAACACTATGTCCATCAGCAACTTTTACTAGCAAACAGTTATGAGTGAGAATATCTAGGATTTGATTTATGTAGAACCCCCCCAGAACATGTCCCATATCTTCTACTATATATTTTTATTATTCCATAGTTAGGGCAGCACGATGTAGAACACTAGATTAAGAGTCCTTCAATGTAGATGTAAGTCCTAATTCTGATCTTGATAAATCACTTCACCACTGTCAGCCTCAGCTTTCTCTTCTATAATATGACCTAAAAAGGACATGATCTTTGAGAGGACAATTCAATCTCTATGATTAAAAATAATTTTCATGGTATCAATGGGGTATGAACACCTCACCTCTCTTACAGATGGAACAGTTAAGACTCAGAAAGAATGACTGCAAATTCTGTTTTAATTTGTATCATGGGTAGGATGAGAGGAGATATAGGAATTTTCTCTCTATGCCTCAGAATTCCTCTGGGAGTAGTTTCATCTTTGACTTGAGCACCATTCAGCATCAACCATTTTTTGTGTGTGTGTACTAACAGGGACCTGGAAAAATATGCACAAGTAAGCATAAGACTACCAGGTTTTTGTCACTACTTAAAAGCTCCATTGATAATAAAGAAAGAAATTAAATTTCTGAGTCATGCTTAGATTCTGGACAGTTAAGCCACAAAGTTTAGGTGACAAATTCACAAATGTGACATGTATATGTTCTCGATGTTTAGTAATGGTGCTGTAATCTGCATAACTGAGCTCTGAAACTGAGCATTTTTTATTTGGGGGAGAGTTTATTATTTTATAATCACCTTATTTACATTTTAATGTAAGAATTAAGAAGATACTCATCCTTAGTTTTCCTTAATAACATTTCTAAATCAGCCTCAGACTGAATTGGCTTCACTCTTCAGTGTAGAAAATATGTTTATTGAAAAATCTGGAAGGCAAATTTGTACAGTAGACAGACTGCCTTCTGCCTTCCTCCTTTACCCATATAAAATGTACCCAGGTTAAGTTTCATGAATTAAAATTCAGTGTGACCTAGTTTAAGTCTTCTGTAGCCCCCTTTGTGCAGCTTTTATTATCTCAGTAAAACTCCAGTGTTGGAAAGCAAAAGGCTATGGCTTTATTTACAAAATACAGTGTTATGTAAATGAGCAAGAATTAATCACCAACATTTCCCAAATGAATCTTTACAAATGAACACCATTAACTTACCAGGGGCAGCCATTGCAGTCCAAGAATAAGAGCTTCCCAACTAAGTCCCAGACATTTGCACAAATGTGTACAGGCCCCATCTGTGCTTTCTTCTTCACCAAGAACCTTTTCTTCCCACTAACATGGCAAAAGTCAAGCAAGGTTGTTTTTTATTATCTGATGAATGCATGAATCACAACTGAATTATGGTAAATTGATAAACCTAAATCTGAATTTCACTTTTTAACTGGAAAGTGCCATTTCCAGAGTTACTCTTAGCCAGAGAAATAAGTAAACATACACTTCAAAAAAAAAAAATTGAAGCTAACATTTTTCCCTTTTAGACTAGGTAAAAAGCAGATAGCAAATAATTTCTAATTTATATATTAATTTCAATTCCTTGTAGAATAGTAGCAGAAAGATGAAAGCCACTTATGTAGATTCTTACAGAATCTTTCCTTTTTTTGATGTACTGGGATTTGAACTCATGGCCTGCTGCTTGCTAGGCAAGTACTCTGCCACTTGAGCCACTCCACCGGCCCTTTTTGGCTGTAGTTATTTTTCACATAGGGTCTCACTGTTATGTCCAGGCTAGCCTGGACTGCTCTCCTCTTATTTAAACTTTCTGTAGAGGTGGGATGACAGGCATGTACCACTATGCCCAGTTTTTTTTCTTTTTGTATAAACCGGTTTATAAACCCTATTTACCGGGGGTTGATCCTCCTGATCTCAGCCTCCTAAGTAATTGGAATTATAGGCATGAGTTGCTGGCACCCAGCTCAACTTGTTTTTCTTAAATATTTGAAAACAGAGATGACATTATATCATCATTATCCTATCATTAAAATTATATTTCAGAACATAGCTCATTATAAACACACTAGTCCATGACTGGGCCCCTTATGCTGTATAGGCAAATTGAAATGAGACCATAATGATCTTTCCAATTTAGTTTTATAATCTCTTGATTCAGTAACTGACCCTGAAGTTTTGGAATTCACCATTAACGCCACAATTGATGAAGCATGAGATAGTGGTCCAAAGTGCTGATGGCATAGTGTCTTATTGCGTTCATGGAGCTAAGCCATTTGACTTTTAAAATTTTACAGTGTTGATTTTTGGATAGCATCATCAACTTTGACTCACATTGTCGCTCACATTTTATTTCATCTTGTTCTGTGGTACTTCTGGGTTTGCAACTGTTGTTGACATTGTGTTTGGTTATCCAGTATCTCTTATTTTAGCCCTCTGTTCTTTTTGCTATGCTTTATTTCCTCATGTCTGAAGATACAGGAAATGACCTCAAGCCATTTCATTGATTCATATTAGAATTATTAAGTACTAATGAACAGGACATGAAGGGTTTGCTTAAAAGTTAAAATGGTAGGGTAACCAACCATCTGCATGAACATGTTTTTGCAGTGCTGGATTTGAACTGGGGGCCTCATACTTGCTAGGCAGGTACTCTACCACTTGAGCTACACTCTCAGTATTTTATTGCAGCAGCTATTTTTCTGATAGGGTCTTGCCTTTTTGCCTGAGGGCATCTGCAGATTGAGATCTTCTTACCTCTGCCTCCCCAT